GTGTGTGTGTGTGTGTGTGTGTGTGGGGGGGGGGCGCTCTGCCATGAGGAAGTTCGGCTTAAAGACACGTCCCATGGGCGTTTCTGTTACCAAAAGGCGTTTCTAGTCCCCACCTGTCGTTTTCCTCCTCTGCATGGCTTCCTAAAAACTCTGCAGGATTTCTCAAACATGCATGAATGAGTCAAAGCAAGGCTTTGGGCATGTTTTTTTATGAAAGTGTAACATTATAACATGATATAAAACTCAAAAAAGTTGATTTTACATGATATTGCCCCTTTAAGTTTTTTTTTCCCCCATTTATCGCAAGTCGTATTGTCATCTCAATATTAAGCCCTGTTATCGCACATTGCAGGTTTTCCTGATATTGTGCAGCTCTACTCTGGACTGTACCTTAGTGCGGCCTTTTCTAACCACATGAATAGTTTGTCCAAATCAGACACATTATTTGAATGTTATCCTGAGTGCTGGTAAAATTAGAATCAAAGTAAATAACCTCGAAAAATCATTCATTCTGGTCACAAGTGAGTTAGAATAATATTTTCAACAAGATGATACAGCAAAGTCTATCAATCATTTTTTTAAAATCTGTAATAATGCTATGCTGTTGTCTTTTTTCAGCAATGCTAAAGAAATGTAACTTTAAATGAAACTGTACATGATGATTTCTTTTTCAATAACGCTCTTTTGCACATCTTGTAGCGAACTTATCTGGATTATGTGAAAGTATAATTTATTTTATTGTATTATCAAAGTTTTTTTAAGTTCTATAAAGCTGCAAATATAGATAATCTGCCCCTGTTTTTTTGTTTGTTTGTTTTGTTTATTTATTTTTTGTTTTGTTTTTTCACAGCCAAGTGTTAGTCTGAGGGATCTGGGTCTTTCAGAGGTCGGGGCGAGTCAGCTGGACGTCCTGGTCAGCAGGTTACTGCCGGTACCGAGTCCAGAAGAGCCTCCTACTGTTAGTTCAATATGGAGGACCAGTCATGTTTCTGCAGACAGCTTCTTTCAAAATAAGCATGGTGAGCAGCTCAACCAAGTGTTTTTTTTTTTTTGAGTTATCATTTAAAAAATTAATGCAAGTGTTTTGTTTCTTTGTTCCTTCGAAGGGGTATCACAAAGAAGATTGTGGAGTTCAGGCTCTCCGCTGTTCTGTAGACAATACCACAGTCCTCTTCGAGAAGTCTGCTCAGAGCTACAGTTTCTACCTGGTACCAAAATAATCTTTATAATCCAGCTTTAGATTTAGATTATTTCAATTTTGTACAGGTTTGTTTTATGTAATTAATTGAATAACTATTGTGTTGGTCTTTGTAGTGTTGTTACAGAGTCGGGGTTTTAAGACACTTAGAACAAAGACCAGACGAATGGAGTCTAGTTATGATGGTCCAGTACAATCTGAGGCCTACACACCAGCTTTCATGAAGGTATGCCTGTAATCGATTCAACAAGGTTAAAGGGTATTTAAAACCTTTTTGTGTAAAGGAAAAGTGGATGTGTGTCCAAGGTTTAATGTTTAATTTGTCTACATGTGTGCACCTTTTTAAGATATTGTGTAAAGGTTTTAAAAGCAGTTTTTGTTTTTTTGTTACAGGGGTTATTCCTGAGGGACAAAGGAGCTGAGGCGTACTCTTTGGACCAAGTAGTGCAACAGAAAAACCTTCCTGAAAACCAGCAGGAGGCTTTCAAAATAGGTTTCACTGATGGGTTCATGAGGGCTCAAGCTTTAACTCAGAGAACACAAGGCATGTAGCTCACGTATTAATGTTTCACTTATTATATAAAGATTAAATGTAACGTAAAGTTAGTTTTCTCTGTTCTGTTTTTGACAGAATCACTGAGGAGAACCAGGTTCATCCTGCTTGCTCTCCTGCTGATTGGCATGTATGGCCTGTCGAAAACCCAGCTTTTCTCCGGTACAGGCTCCTTTTCTGATGCCGGTTTGTTTTGGTTTTTATTTTTTCATATACATGCAAATAAAGCTAAAGCTCTACATGCACACTGAAATCACACTACAGCCACGTGGCATCTTTAAGACTCATTTAAACATAAAAATTAAAATCACTGATGTCTATTTTCAGCTTTTAAATTCATGCTTTAGTTGTTTATGTATGTGGTTCAAAACACTGTGTTGCATAACAAAATATAATAAGTGTGCTCTAGTGTGCACGTCGAGTTTGACTGATAATTTAAAGCATGTTACTTTTTCTTAAAACCTCCAGTATCTATATATATATTCTAGCTGTTTATATTTTCTGCCCAGCTGAAGTGAAATGAGTAGGTGTAAATGTGAAAATACTGCGTAAGTTTGGATCTTCATGTTTACAGTGAGGGCCGCAGTAAGCATAAAAAAGTTAATTTATCTGTGATTTTAAGATGGTGTAAAGGAATATTGTTTTTAGATGTTTGTTTTTGGGACTTTTTGCAGTGAATTTCCGCACCACACCTGGCCTCTACTCAGCTATGGACACCATCCACATGAAAAATGTGACATTTGAGCACGTCAAAGGAGTAGAGGAGGCAAAGAATGAGTTGCAAGAGGTTGTCGATTTTCTCAAAAGCCCTCAGAAGTTCACTGCTTTGGGTGGAAAGCTGCCTAAAGGTATCATCAGTTTATTTAATGTGATAATGTGACAGAATACAGTATTTATTTTGTCCAAACCTAACTCCATCTCTACAGGGATCCTCCTCGTTGGCCCTCCAGGCACAGGAAAGACTCTGTTAGCGCGAGCCGTCGCCGGGGAGGCTGATGTGCCTTTTTACTACGCCTCCGGATCAGAGTTCGATGAGATGTTTGTGGGTATTGGTGCAAGTCGAATCAGGAAACTTTTCAGTAAGTTTGCTGACTTAAAAAAACGAAGAAAAAAAGAAGAGAAGTTAAGGTGTATCAAACTAAATTAGTTTTTTCATGTGATTTGTAGAAGAGGCAAAAGCCAGCGCTCCTTGTGTCATCTTCATCGATGAGTTGGACAGCGTGGGTGGAAAGAGGATTGAGTCTCCCATGCATCCTTACTCCAGACAAACCATCAACCAGCTGCTGGCTGAAATGGATGGGTATGTTGTATTAACGTTGCAACTTCTTCAATAAGGAAGAACACTTACCCCTAAACTAACAAACATTTTAATGTTTTACAGATTCAAACCAAATGAAGGTGTCATTGTTATCGGTGCTACGAACTTTGCAGAGGCTTTGGATAAGTATGTTCCCACTTTATAAAAATACTGCTTCACATAAATATTAATCGAAGTAGAACAAGTTAGGTTTGACTGAACTGTCTCAACTTGGTGTCAGCAGTTTAGAAATGTGAAAGGAAAATGCATCAAGTAGCTTAAATTAAAAAAATAGTTTTGATTGTTTTGTTGTTTTTTTGTTAGGTTTTTTTTTTCACTTTTCCTTGCATTTGTTCACTCAGTTTGTTTGAACCAGTTTCACACTACAGAGACTGGATTTCTTGTGCACATTTGCATGAGTAAATATAGTTGTTATTCTGAGGTGTTAATTTTCTTTAATCAGTCACTGTAATAGCCTCTTAAGTAGAACATTCATTTTGTAATTAGTTAGGAAATGGAGCTTGAGGTGCTAATGATTGTTGTATTGCTGCTGTGTTTAAGTGCTCTGGTGAGACCAGGCAGATTTGACATGCAGGTGACCGTCCCTCGACCTGATGTGAAAGGACGTAAAGAAATTCTCGACTGGTACCTCTCGAAGATCAAAGTGGATCCTGGTACGACTCCTTGTAGAATAATTTCAGAGTTGTAAAGTAACTAAGTACAAATACTGTTACTATACTTAAGTAGAGTTTAGGGTATCTGTACTTGAGTAATTATTTTTCGGCCTACTTTTTACTTCTACTTCTTACATTTTCACACACTTATCTGAACTTTCTACTCCTTACATTTTAAAAATGTTAAGAAGTAGAAAGTCGTTACTTTTATTTCATTTTTTCTTGTTTTCATTCCAGCTTGTTGCAAAAAATAAATTCTATCCATATAAATTGTGCTTCTTAGAGTGAATTTAATTGTGGTTGAATGAGAAGTATAAATATATAAAATTCTGATACCGTATTAGTTTGTGCACAAACAAATCATGTCACACTACAGCAGGACATAATCATTAAAATAAAAGGACTGTGCTTAAGAAGTATTTGTATTTCATGAATTATATTATTACATTTGGCCGCAGCCCTCAGACAGATTTTCATTTTGGGGTTTGAGCAGCCTTGATATATGTATATAAACTGAAACAGCTGGACTAGTGCATCCCAAATTTAACAAACTAATTATTTTAATACTTCATAGTCATTTCTGAATTTTTTTGGGGAGGTCACCTCCTAATAAATATCATTACAGAAACTAACTGCTCATTTTAAATCGTACAAAACATRTCAGATACTTTAAGACTTTTACTCAAGTAATATTCCTAAAGAAGACTGTAACTTTTTTTTTTTTAAACCAGTCATTTTTTGGTAAGACACTTGTACTTTTACTCAAGTATCACTTTGTGGTACTTTATACAACACTGAATAATTTGTTATATAGGCCTGTTGCGACAAGCATAGGGCTATAGATTAAAATGCCAACAAGTTTGCCAATTTGTTTGTTTTCTTCGTGTCTCCCTCTTTTCTACTCCTTAGCGTATGGAAGAGTGAACTCTTGTCTCCAAAGAATATTATCGTTTATTGCGATCATTTCTGAGACCTTGTATCGTCCTTAAAAATCTGTTATCCTGACAGACCCAATAGTAGCTTATAATGTGTAACCTTTATGTTTGTTCATGTTTCGAATTGCCCTTCTCTTCCTCATGAGAAAACCAAGCACATTCTGTAGCTCATTCAGTGAAACTAAACCTCAAAGGAGCTCTTTGTAAAGATGTTTGTCTCTCATCCCCTCTTCCTCTTCCCTCACAGCCATCGATGCAGAGATCATCGCCCGAGGCACAGTGGGCTTCTCTGGAGCAGAGCTCGAGAACCTGGTGAACCAGGCAGCCCTGAAGGCAGCAGTGGATGGAAAAGAGATGGTTACGCTGAAGGAGCTGGAATTTGCTAAGGACAAGATCCTCATGGGTGATTAACCACAGCGCTGTGATCAGCCCTGAAACCCTCATTACGGATCAGAGTCAGAAGGCTTTAATCTTTTCTTTGACTTTTTCTTGCCAGGTCCCGAGAGACGCAGCGTTGAAATTGATGAGAAGAATAAGACCATTACAGCGTACCATGAGTCCGGCCATGCTATTGTTGCATATTATACCAAAGATGCAATGCCAATAAATAAGGCTACCATCATGCCCAGAGGACCAACCCTTGGCCATGTTAGTTTTTGTTATAACTTCAATAGATTTGATAAAAGAAAGAAACACATCCTGTAACTAATCTGTATTGTTCTAATGTTTGCTCTCAAGGTGTCCATGCTCCCAGAGAACGACCGCTGGAACGAGACCCGAGCCCAGCTGCTGGCTCAGATGGATGTCAGCATGGGTGGTCGAGTCGCAGAGGAGCTCATCTTTGGAGACGACGACATTACCACAGGTACAAACTTCACAAGGAAGAAAGAAGCTCTGCCTTTAATTAATTATAGGGATTTGAAAGAGGTTGGACACACAGTGGAGTTCATTCTATCCTTTTTTTTTCTTACACATAAAGCAAAAATGGCAAAGCTGTGTGTGAAAAAACTACTGCTTTCATAAGATTTATGAAAGCTGCAGATGAACTAATCATCACTCTGCCCACCTCGATAAAAGCAGCTGTTTTGTCACTTTTTTGGCTCTGGAGCATAAGATATACGTGTGAAAACAAAGCCTAGATAACAACAGTGCCATTAGAGAAACGTTTTTTTTTTGCTGACCATCAATCTAAGAAGGATTACAGGTAATTTCCAGTTAAAAATTCCATATTTCTACAATGAGAGAGATTATTCACAGTGGAGAATATTTAAGACAGCCAGATATCTTTTTAAGAGTGAACATCCCAGCTAAGGTCAAAACCCAGGAGCTCCTCTTCAACAGGCCTCAGTTTGCAGGACAAAGATTAAAGTTGATGACAGAACAGCTACATAAACACATCTCAGTAATGATGTGAGGAAGTAAGAGTGTGAATAAATTCATACATGCAACTGTTTTCTTCTTATTATTAAAGGCAGAGCTACAAATGGTTGAATTAAGTTTTCCTTGACTTTGTTCGAGTTTAACAAACGATGACACAATGGGATAGTGTTGTGTGTTTTTGTAAACTTGAGGCTAAGACCAGATGAGTTTCATTGTGTTCTTTAGTGTGACTTGAAAGAGGAAACATGTTCTTTTCTTATGATTGTGTCGAATATTGTCTGTGTGCTTTTTATTAGTTTCATTTCAATAATTTCCTTTTGGCTTGTTTGTGGTTTTAGGAGCCTCCAACGACTTCGATGGTGCAACACAAATAGCAAAAATGATGGTCACCAGATTTGGCATGAGCGACAAGGTAAAAATTAAAAACTTAATAAATTTTATTTAAAATTTTAACATTTAACTTAACAGTGTTTTCTTAAAATCGTTAGACACTAAATATATTTAACTCTATAGTTCAGGGCTTCTATAAGCAGCTAGAGTACCACTTGAGATTATGTTTTTGTTTTTTTGCTGATATTTCATTTTTAAAGTTTAATATGTTAACCTTTTAAAGTGTGTATTCAAACCAGTGTTTATTTCAAAACTGTGGTTCTTCCTATATAATTACACTTCTAAAGAGCTGATTGTATCACTGACTGAAGTCACCCATTGATGCTCATGATGATCCTCAGTTAAAGTTAGAAAAGCCTTATTGTTTGTTCAGCTTTGAAGACGTCGTTTGTTTTTCTGCAGCTCGGGGTCATGACCTACCGAGATTTATCCAAGCAGAGCCCCGAGACTCAAGCTGCTATCGAACAGGAAGTCAGGGTTTTACTCAAGGTGAGTTTTCTACATCACAAATACAGATATTTTCAACTTTTATTTTTGATCAACTTCCAATGTTTTCACCTCTTTCCTGCAGGAGTCCTACGAGCGAGCTAAAAAAATCCTGAAAACTTACAACAAAGAGCACAAGAAGCTCGCAGACGCTCTGCTCAGAAATGAAACTCTGGATGCCAAAGAGATCCAGATGGTTCTTGAAGGGAAATCTCTGGACCACTAGATGTTAAAGACTTTAGTTATGTAAATAAGAAGCTGTGCAGCTGAGCACAGGCCTTTTGGTGGCCTTCTCTTTTGTGTGTTGACAACGTGACGATTAGAAAGAAAGGATCATGTTTCACTTCACCCTATGAGTTTTCTCAACACTTCCAGCAAACAAATCCTAATTTTTCATTGCAGTTTTAAAGCACTTCATAATGAGGTGTTTTTAAAAGAAAGTTCAGCTTCAGTTCAGCTTTACTCTTACAACAGAAAACCTCTGAAATAATTTTATTTGCTGTTGTTTAACTTCGTCATTGTTACCCGATGAACACTGTAGGAGCTTACAGTGTCTATATGTCAAATGTGCTCTTTAGCTGCAGTTAAGACCAAGACGTTGCTGAAGAATCATTTATCATTATTGTGTATTTCTCTCATGTATGCTGTTTTTTTCCTCTTATTTAATTGCCCAAATGTGTATTTTCTTTCATCCCAATTAGTTATAGATCCTTTTTGACCTCCTATACGATCAGCTGTAACTGATGAATGAGATGAGTTCACTGTAAATACTAGAAGCCTAACAACAGACAAGTTTGGTCTTTCTTTTTGTTTTATATATAGACAAAGACCTTGAAACTCAATAAAAAGCTACGCTCAGGAAACACTTGAGAGGTCATTCTTTTGTCATTGTCAGAATAGAAAATAGAATAGTCTTTATTGTCATTGCACAAGCCTGGACAACAAAACTGAACATGCCTCAGCTGACAGTATTATAGAAAGATGTAGGATTAGAGCAACATATACAGTAAACATACACAGTGTTGTATAAAGTACCTCAAAGTGACACTTGAGTACAAGTATCTTATAAAAATACTTTGGTAAAAGTTAAAGTCTTCTCTAAAGTCTTAAAAGTATCTGATATTTTTTGTACTTGAGTATCAAAAGTAAATTTCTGACACAAACTCTACTTAAGTATTAAAAGWACTGAGTAAAAGTGAGCAGTTCGATTTTCCAAAATGACATTTATTGGGAGGTGACCTCTCCAAAAAATATTTTTCTAACAGCGTGCAGCTGTGATGGGTTGTGTACAAGCTAATAGGGTGTCAGAATGGTATATATTTATACTTCTCATCCAACCACAATTAAATTCACTCTTATCTTGGAGACAATTTATCAGCATAGTATTTTTAAGTAATAACTTGGAATAAATTAGGAGTAACAACTTTGTACTTCTTACCTTTTTTTAAAAAAATGTAAGTAGAAAGTACCGATAATTGTGTAAAAATGTAATGGTTAAAAGTAAAAAGTACATTGAAAAATAATTACTCAAGTAAAGTACAGATAACCAAAATTTCTACTTAACTACAGAAACAAAGTATTTGTACTTAGTTACTTTACAACTGCAAATACAATATACGTACATATTTGGCAAGATTAAAAAAAACATGAATAAATAATCTTGTGCACAAAAGACATAAATCCTGAAAAACTAGTGACAAAACCAGTTTAAACAGCTGTTTTTGCACCAGTGTGAAACATGACCTCATTACATTTGTTTGTCAGAGTCACTGTCATGCAAACTCTACCCAGAATGTACCCTGGGCTGGGATTCAATCTGGCAACCTTTCTGCTGAGCGGCAGCAGCTTTACCAACTGAGCCACCGTGCTGCAGTTAACTAAAATTATTCTTCAAGCCTAAACTGGTTCATTTCTGATAAGGTGTGAGTACTTCTGGCTGACTGAAGTTTTTCTAATTGCTCAAATGTTTAGAAAAAAAGTTTTGTGATTTCTTTTTACTAATTCTTTTTAAACTGTTCTAGGCGAGATTATTATGAATGGATCCCCGACACATCAGCTCTCACTCTTAAACTGATGAAGCCATTTATACAATAAATCTGAAGTGATATATTCAGGTAAATAAAACCCAACAATGTTGTGATTTCAAAGCAAATGTGATTTGTTAGAGCTTCAGACTTTGCTTTTTTCAGAACATTTACATAAATCATGTTGATGTGGTCATTAAGGGTACGTCAGCGTATTCTTTTGAGTTGTCACATTCCAAATAATTTGTCAGTATTTTGGCCGGACTCTTGCATTTTAATGATGTTACTGTTTTCAGCTAGCTAATTAACGCAACTTCTGTTTAATAGCAGATTTGAATTCTTTCAAATTCTCTTAAAAATTAAATAGATCACATAACACGTAGCCATGGCAGAGTCCAACCAGCATTATTGCTTTATTTAACAAGAGATGGTTACTGATAAAGCATTTAAACATGTGACCTTTAAAAATGTTAATTATAATTTTTTATAGCTTTGTTCTTGTCTTGCCACTTCTCAAAGCACTTCACATGCAGACATTTTATTTACCTGTTTTCCTACACACACCACTGACAACTGATGCAGCTGAAAGAAAACCTTAACAAAACAAGCTGCTCAATATGAGCAACCATGAGACAGAAAAAAAAAACTTTTTACTTTCTGAGGTGAAGCCAAAATAAGCTGATTGTGATGAGTAGTTTTTGGTATTCTTTCATGAGACAAGAAAAAGAATCATTTACTCTTGCTGCTGACTCACCTAAACCTGCAATTAAGGGATTTGGTTCCAGCAGAGAATCTCTGAGTGGGACAATGTCTTCTTGTCACTTTTGTTTGACCAGGCCTGACATTTATAAGAGGGTGTGAGGCTGCAGAAGCCCCATTCTGACTGAAAACAGCTGAACACCAAACTTCAACATGGTGAGGCTTGAAATGTCACTGGGACAAAAGAGTAGTTAAATTCATTCTCTAAAAATCTTGACGAAACAATGGAGGACGCAGAGGACAACATAGCTGTTATTGGAATGGGATGTAATTTTCCTGGAGGTATGAATTTGAAATCATCCAGTTATCTATCTATCTATCTATCTATCTATCTATCTATCTATCTATCTATCTATCTATCTATCTATCTATCTATCTATCTATCTATCTATC